ACTCTGTATTAGGGTAATTAGCCCTTCGTGGTATCAGTTGCAAGTTTTTTTTTCTTTCCAATTTGGCATGTCTCTTGGTGTTTATTGCTACAGAACCATTTTTACTTTTACAAAGTTAAATTATCAGTCTTCATGGCCACTTGGTTTGGGGGCCTAGAAAGAGGCCCGGGGTTCTAAGTTGCACTTACCCTTGTCCTGGGATTGCAGCTCTGGTGGTTACGGAAATGGCTGTCCATGTTCAAGGGCAAGAGCTAGCTATTGGTCTTCCAGAAAGCTCCAATTAGCCTGAGGGTTAGTTTGAGATCCTCTGATAATTGTTCATAATTGATTGCCTCTCTATGCCCTTCCAACAGTCTCAAAGTCTTCAGAATTTGTCTCTAAGCAGGTGACTGGAATCCAGGCAATGGTCACAACAGTCAACACCCGCTTAAAAGCTGTCACTAGCCCCACCAGCGTGGCTCAGTGGTTGAGCGTCGACCAATGAACCAGGAGGTCACGGTTCAATTCCTGGTCAGGGCACATGCCCGGGTTGTGCAGGAGGCAATCAGTGATTCTCATCATTGATGTTTCTATCTCTCCCCTTCTCCCTTCTTCTCTGAAATAAAAAACAACTACTTTTAAGAAGTTGTCACTAGCCCCTCTGGCTGGGTGTGCTGCACCTGCTTCATCAGTGGCTGCTTCTCTTTCCTTTGCAGACGGAAGCCCTGCAGCAGCTGCAGAAGGACTCGGAGGCCATCCGCAGCCAGTACGCGCACTACTTTGACCTCTCGCTGGTCAATAATGGCGTTGATGAAATTCTTAAGAAACTGCAAGAAGCCTTTGACCAAGCGTGCAGATCTCCACAGTGGGTGCCTGTCTCCTGGGTTTACTAGGCTTGCAGAAATGGGGCTACCATATACTGTATCCAGTATTTGGAACTCCACTCCCCTTGCTTTAAGACAAAACAGGGTCGCTCCAGCTAGTTTTGTGTCCGCTTCCAGCTCTATGCAACTATCCTAATTAGGCCAGTGGGTGGCAGTCTTACTCAGGCTCCTCAAGGGCTCGGCTCTGGTTTTCCTGCTGCATGTGGCCCCATTGATTTCAAAAGAATCTCTGGAAATTGGGGCAGAAGCACGACCCTAATACAAATGCTAATCAAAGATGGTGCTCACAGCGAGGAAAAGCCTGGACCCTGTCCCTCTAAAGCCTACGCTCCTTCACCTTTAATCACGTCTTTACTATGAAGAAAGCATTTTTTTTACTGCCTTTCTAAAATGCCAAAATGAAACAGCTCTGCAATAGGATGTCTGCTCTAGGAAAACCCTCAAAAGCAATAAAGAGATTACTGTTAAAATGCCAATGACCTTGTAACTCTCTGGGTTGTTTTTTTTTTTTAATATATTTTATTGATTTTTTACAGAGAGGAAGGGAGAGGGATAGAGAGTTAGGAACATCGATGAGAGAGAAACATCTATCAGCTGCCTCTTGCACACCCCCTACTGGGGATGTGCCTGCAACCAAGGTACATGCCCTTGACTGGAATCGAACCTGAGACCCTTGAGTCCGCAGGCCGACGAGGGCTCTGGGTTTTTACCTGTACCACAAGCATCTGACTGGAGAAATGTCACTCGCTTTAAGCTCCTGGAGCAGTGGTTCTCAACCTGTGGGTCGCGACCCCTTTGGCGGTCAAACGACCCTTTCACAGGGGTCGCCTAAGACCATCGGAAAACACATATATAATTACATACTGTTTTTGTGATTAATCACTATGCTTTATGTTCAATGTGTAACAATGAAAATACATCCTGCATATTAGATATTTACATTACGATTCATAACAGTAGCAAAATTACAGTTACGAAGTAGCAACGAAAATAATTTTATGGTTGGGGGTCACCACAACGTGAGGAACTGGAACTGTATTAAAGGGTCGCAGCATTAGGAAGGTTGAGAACCACTGTCCTGGAGGATGGCATTGCCACCAGATGCCTCCCTCAAGTGTTGAGCAATCTTTTTTTTTATTTTATCATATTAGGCTTTTATTATATAGGATTCATCTACTTAATTAAATTTATTCCAATATTATTTAGCTTAACCATATTTATAATTTCCTTTCAAGATTTCTCCTCACAAACCTTCGGAAAGGAAGAGAGGGAGATAGAAACATCAATGATGAGCCCTAACCAGTTTGGCTCATTGGATAGAGCAGTGGTCGGCAAACTCATTAGTCAACGGAGCCAAATATCAACAGTACAACGATTGAAATTTCTTTTGAGAGCCAAATTTTTTAAACTTAAACTATATAGGTAGGTACATTGTTATTAACTTAATTAGGGTACTCCTAAGCTGGCCTTTGCTAAAAACGTCCTCAATCTGATTGAGGTACGTTCGCTGAGGTTGACCCCTTCCAACTCCCCATCCACACTCGTCTTGTATACTTGTTTCCTCTATCTCCTTTCGTTCATCCTCTCTATATGTCCAAACCATCTCAACATACCTTTCTTAATCCTCGACACTACATCTTTCACTCCACAACGTTCCTTAAAATTAGCTTATAAACTTTACTTTTGTCACCCGCGCGCGATTTGCGGACGTGACCAGCACTAACCACTGCACAATGAGACTGCTGACTGGCTCACTCAACGAGCCTCCCCCACGCTGCGTATCCCGAGACCCGCCTGCGCCGCGTCTCCCCTCGCCTGACCGACCGACACCCCCCACTTCTTCTAAGGCCACTTCTTCAAAATAGACTCGCCCAGGCCGAAAACCAACTTCTGCGCATGGGCCACGAAGTTTCAGTTGCACTGTACATGTGCGCCCGCACGTGGTATTTTGTGGAAGAGCCACACTCAAGGGGTCAAAGAGCCGGCATGTGGCTCACGAGCCACGGTTTCCTGACCACTGGGATAGAGCATCGGCCCGCGGATGCTTCTTCTGCCTGAAGAAGGGTCCCGGGTTCGATTCTGGTCAAGGGGATGTACCTTGGTTGTGGGCTTGATCCCCAATAGGGGGCATGCAGGAGGCAGTTTCTCATCAATGTTTCTAACTCCCTATCCCTCTCCCTTCCTCTCTGTAAAAATTAATAAAAAATATATTTAAAAAAAACATCAATGAATTATTTATCAGCTGCCTCCTGCATGCCCCACACTGGGGATAGAGCCCTTAACCCAGGCATGTGCCCTGATCAGGAACCGAGCTTCCTGGTTCATAGGTCAACACTTAACCACTAAACTACCTGAACAATCATAAGGGTCAGATTTATCCTACCTCTTATTTGGGGGGTAGGGTGTGCATGTGCTGGGCAGGGCACAAATTGGTGCATTGAGGCAGGTATGTGGACATGTACATGTGCAACACATAAAAAGCACTGTGAGAGCATCGGTGTAAGATTGTCCAGTTGTGCTCCACGGGGAGACAAGCAAACATTTTTGCTTCTGCTTCTCGCTGGCCACCATCATGTCTACTAAATCTTAACATTTTTCCCAAGTAACTCCTTTTCTTTCTCTTTAATCAAAGGCCATGCCTTCTTTTTTAAATTATTTGTCTTAATTTCAGAGAGAGAAAGGGAGATATTTGTCTTAATTTCAGAGAGGGGAAGGGAGAAACATCAATGAATCATTGATTGGCTGCCTCCTGCACGCCCCCTACTGGGGATCAAGCTCGCAACCTGGGCATGTGCCTGATCAAACCTGGGACCCTTCAGTCCACAGGCCGACACACTGTCCACTGAACCAAACCGGCTAGGCCACAAGACATGGTTTTAGAGCACCGACATGACTGGCTGCCCAGATTAAACTCTCAAGAGCTGGAATGAAAAACCCCTACCCCGTCCCAAGCCTAGTGTCCACACAGGACTTTACCCTGAACCCATCCCTGGCAGGGATTTAGTTTCCTGATACTTGGAGGCTTACATTCTGGTCACATGCGGGGTGGGGCAGGGGCAGCCTCTGGGCTTAGTAGGGGGTCCTTGCTGCATCTGGAGACTGCTCCCTATGTCAGGGGGCTCCCTTCTCCATGTCCAATATGGGGGGTGGGGTAAGGGAACTGGTTCTTTCAAGTAGGAGGCGCTTTGGGGAATAGAGAAATGAAGACACAGAAATAGAGGGAGAAGCTGGGTCTGGGTGGGCTTCTGTTCTCTTCTGGCGGAGAGGCAGAGAGACCCAGCACCAAAGCGGCGTGTTTATTTTATAGCCCAAATTCCCCAAAATATCAGGTTTCACCGAAACTCAAGGGAGGTATTCCCGGTGCTTGACTGGATTTACATAATAAAAACCCATTCCTGGCACCTAGGCTTTGAAGAGTCAAGCTGAAGGCATTCTCACCTTTTGGTCAGAAATGCCCCCAAGGTAGGGCTGTGCCTATGCCTTGGGTTCAGTCAACATGACTTAAAGGAGAGCCATGGCGCCTTCCCTGGCAGGGGGCCTCCCACAGCTCCCATACTGTTTCATGGGGTTTGGTACCAAATTGGAACCAATCCTAGACGTCACCAAGCCCTTGATTCCTGAACATTCACCCATCACTCCCCCCCGCCCCGAGGTTTTTGCCACTCACTGGCCCTCACACCACTGAGTTGGAGCACTAAGTATTTAGATACTTGAAAGCCTGTCAAGATCTGGCTCTTTGGCTGGCCCATGTGGCTCAGTGGTTGGTCATCAACCTACTAGTATAAGCCAGGAGGTCATGATTAAATTCCCGGTCAGGACACAGGCCCAGGTTGCTGGCTCGATCCCATGTGGAGGCAGCCGATCAAGGATTCTCTCATCATTGATGTCTTTCTCTCCCCCTCCCTCTCTGAAATCAATAAAAATGTTTTTAAAAATCTGGCTCTTTCATGCTTCCTCAGGCCTTTCGCAAGCACCCTCTACCCACTTAGAGACACACACACCTTCTGCCAGACACATTACATAATTAGCATCAAATTTCAAGTATGACATAAAGGCCCCTGATTTTTAATCAAAGTACTTTATATTTTTTTGTTCTGCTAGTTTGAGACCACCATCAATTAGAAAACCCAACAGGAATACTTTAAAAAAACATAGTAAGCAAACTTTAATAAGTAAAAATTACAACCACCTTCTCCCAGCAAGGACCGATTGCATCCTTTGAAAGAAAAAGGGTAGAAACAAGAGAATACATTTTGGATTTTGTCACAAACACAAGTAGTCAGATGGACCGAGGTACATGAGGCTGTACCCAAGCTGAAGTGCACCAACTACTAGGCCAGAGGGATAGGAATGGCTAGAAAGGTGGAAGACCAGGAGTCCTCGCCAGCCGATGGAATAACAAAGGTGGCGCTGACACCAGCCTAGCCCACTGTCCTCATAACACGCCGGAGATTTTCCCCAGCAAACATGGTTGTCCTATTCTTTTACTTGCTCTACACCAGTGATGGCGAACCTTTTGAGCTCAGCGTGTCAGCATTTTGAAAAACCCTAACTTAACTCTGGTGCCGTGTCACATACAGAAATTTTTTGATATTTGCAACCATAGTAAAACAAAGACTTATATTTTTGATATTTATTTTATATATTTAAATGCCATTTAACAAAGAAAAATCAACCAAAAAAATGAGTTCGCGTGTCACCTCTGACACGCGTGTCATAGGTTCGCCATCACTGCTCTACATCGTTTCACTATGCGATTGCTATCAACATTTTTAACAGAAGGGCATGGGGGAGAGGCAGAAGCAAACGAGTAAAGGAGGATGGAGTTAGAACAGCTGTCAGGAAACAGCTGTGCTGGTTACCAGGCAGTGCAGGGTCTGAAGGCGCGAGGCTTCCCCACTCCCCGCAAGGAGAGAAGTGGGTGGTATCCAATCTGCCTCCTGCACCCATATCCTTAAAACAGGACAAGATGGGATGACCACACCAGGTAACATCACTCAGGTCTCGGCTAGCAGCTAAAATGTGCCTCAGCTCTCACCCTTTAAGAACAGAAGGAACTATGTTTTCTCAATAAGGCTTTAATTTCTCCTTCCAGCTGGGCACAGTGCTTAAAGTGATCTCCACTAGTCAGAAACGACTTCCACTTTGATTTTCTTTTTCTTCTTCTTCTTTTTGGTGGTATCACTGTCCTGGGAGAGAGAGAAAAGAAAGCTCACAGAACCTGTTAACAGAACCACTGCCACTCTCCCAAAAGGAAATCGGAGATGCTCCACGCAGGCAAGTAGGCCTTTTCAGGATCTGTCAGGATACCCAGGGTTCAATCATTTTTGAACATAACAAAGTCCTGAGCTTGTCAGTGGCGCCCCAGTGGCCACTTTTACAAACAGGAGCATTCAGATTCTCAAGCTACCCGCCCTACCACCTGCCATCCACAGAATTCTATGAACAGTTACTATACAATGCCAGGGCCTGCCCGACCACAGTGGCTCAGGGTGGAATGTTAACCTGTAAACCAGGAGGTCGCGGTTCAATTCCCAGTCAGGGCACATGCTCCGGTTGCGGGCTCCATCCCCATTGGGGGGTGTGCACGAGGCAGCTGATTAATGATTGTCTCTCATCATTGATGTTTCTATTTCTCTCCCCCTCCCTCTCTGAAATCAATAAAAATATATTTGCCAGGGTCTGTCTCTGTACGATCCTGCGGGGATGGTGGGGGGGAAAGGCACTCCAGTAATACGGCACAGCTCCCCAAGTAACCAAACTGGCACCAACTGGGCAATTCAAACCCCGCACCTGAGGACTAAGCGAGCTAAGGATCCTGAGCATGTCTATACACACCCCATCTGCCGCCTCGCCCGCATCCTCCGCAGCGGCTTTGGCCTTCTTCTCCTTCTTCTTCTTTTTCTTCTCCTTTTCCTTCTCCTTCTCCTTGACCGGCTCTGGAGACTCTGGCTCTGGCGAAGTCTCATCACTTTCACTCTCTCGACTCCGCTGAGGAGACAATTGATCAAATGTTAGATCTTAGGCAAAAATGGATGAGAAAGGCTCAGGAAGAGAAAAGGTAAGAAGAGATCCTTAACTGGGTACACAGGAGGGTCCTGAAGTTTACCAAGGATTCAGAGACTGTCTCACCCACAAAGAGCAGGAAGCCCGTTTTCCTGGAGGCCAACCTCACTAAGATTACAAGTTGGAACTCCATGTCCCCTAGGGGTGACCCTTGAGTCCTCAAAAGTGTCAAGCAAGGCAGGAAAAGCTCCTCTAGACAGCTTGCTCCAAGTCATTCTGCCACGAGTCTTTCTGTGCTGTCATGCCAGTGGTCCCCAACCCTGGGAAGCCAAGCTGCCACTTTGAAACACTGAACTGGTGCTATCTGGAGGTAGCTCACGGGTGGCATTGCTCCCGCTGAGTCCCACACAACTCCAAGTGTCACAGCCTCCAATTTCAACACACGTGTGCCATCACTTGACGGGGGGGGGGGGGGCAGAATAACACGCACCCCCCAGTTTCAGTGCTGCCTGAGCTGAGGTGGAAGATGAGGCCAGTCTGATTCCTGAGCCCCCACGTCTCCCAGCAGACACAACAGGAAAGTGATCTGGCACCTACAGAGCCCCAACGACTACCCTGGGGCAGAATATGTCATCTCTCTCTGTGCACCACGCACCCACGGGGCAGAAGGCCCTGCCAGACTGAGCCAGGATATATGGCTGGACTGCAGTCACCAGGATAAGCCACACAGAACTATCTCCCGAAGTGCATTCTAAACTAATCACCGCATGCCCCGTACCTTTGTGGCCTTTACTGGTGAAGCAACCGCCTCTGTCTTCACGGCATCACTGAAAGGAGAGGGAGCCAGCGGGTTAGATTTGATGAACAGCTTTCTGGGCAGGGACTGCTTCATCTGCAGCCAATCAGAGTTATCTGGCAAGTCTAAAGCCACCATCAAAATACTGACGCTGGACAAAGCAACTCACCACTTACTGTTGCAGACTGACTCCCTCTAAAGTCCCACATGCCAGACTAGAAAGGGATAACTGTCTGCTGCAGAGGCCCGGCAGCCAAGGCACAGCAATCTCCCTGCCCCAACAAATCTATGGCCAAGGCGCCATTTACCACCCTTCCCCCAACAAATCCTGCCCCCTCCCCACAGCTGGGCCCCATGACCTCCTGGCTTCATGTGTAGTTGATGTGCTTGTCCAGGTGGCCAGGCATGCTGCGTCCACCCCTCTGAGTTCCACATCCTCCTGTCCCCACTGCCACTGCCATCCAGTGTAGTGTCAACTCCTGCACGCAGACGAGCATGCAGTCTGCATGCCCTGGGTCTCCACAGCATCCTGCCCTCACCTGTAGTCAACATACTCCTGTGTCCAGGTGGTGGGCGTGCTGGCTGTGGCCTTGCCGTGCTTGTCCAGAAGGCCCTGCTTGATCATCAGCTTCTTCTGACTGGCCTGGTGGACATCAGGATTTCAACGTCAGGACGGCGTCAACACATATAGCAGGCTGACTGCATGCACACGGCCCAAATCAAGTTTCTCCCTTGTGTATTCTCACCTGGGCCCCAAGCTCCTATATAGAGCATTCAGAATTCACCCATTCTTGCCCTGGCCAGTGTGTCCCAATGGTTAGAGCACCAGCCAATGCACCAAGAGGTCTCAGGTTTGATTCCCAGTCAAGGGCATGTACCTGGGTTGCAGGTTTGAGACCCTAGCCCCGGTCAGGGTGCGTGTGGGAGGTAACCAATAGATGTGTCTCTCACATCTGTTTCTCCCCCCCCACCCCCACTCACTCCCAATCTCTAAATAGCCTTAGGTGAGGATTGAGAAAAGCCAAACAAATAAATAAACAAAAAAACCCCCACCCATTCTCTTTGATAAGCACAAACATGGGACTTGGTAAAGGTCACGGAGCTTACAGCCTTAGTGAGAGCCTCTGCAGTATCATTATGTGGCATAGGGCCTTTGCACATACTATTCCAGCTGCCCAGGACTTTTCCCTAGCTCATCACCTCATCACCATCTAATCCTTCACACTGGCAGGGCTCAAGTGAAGCTCCCTTACCCAGATCCCCTCATTGCAGACCCTTGAGGTGCCAGGCTCCTTGAGAAACCTTCATCTTGGCTAAAATTCACCATTGTATCTGAGTGATGCCCATCTGCTTCCTCCCATCAGACTGAAATCTCTAAGGTCTGAGGCGGGCCAGTTCCTACTCACCGACTCCCCCAGAGCCCAGCACAGGGTAAGGCTGTGGCGGTGGGGTCACACCAAGAGCTGCCCAAGTGCTCAACAACGCTGAACCTAGTAACCCGGGAGGGCACATGACTGGTCCCACTCACCTTTGGACCTAAACCCCACTTCCGAGGGTAAGTGTCTCTTTCCATGATCACTCTCTTGATCTTGGCTACTATCCCATGGTCGCAGGTAGAGATCACTGCTGTGGTCATTAATGCAATAGCTGCAGGTGTTCAAAGAGAGAAAAGAATGATTTAAGTCCAGCCAGTGTGGCTCAGCGGTCGAGCATCGACCTAGGAACGAGGAGGTCAGTTAGATTCCAGTCAGAGCACATGCCCAGGTTGTGGGCTTGATCCCCAGTAGGGGGTGTGCAGGACACAGCTGGTCAATGATTTTCTCTCATCATTGATGTTTCTAGCTCTCTATCTCTCTCCTTTCCTCTCTGTAGAAAATCAATAAAATATAAAAAATAAAAAATAAAAATAAAAGCTCTACTGCCTTAATTGAGGTTCCTTCGCTAAAGATGTACATATGGATATATAGACAAGAAGTGGAATAAAGTCTCTTCATTGATAACCATAGATATTTCTTCCCATTCTTCAGGCTGTCCTCTCTTCTCATTAGAGAACCAAGCTGCTGAGACATGGCCTCTAACAGCAGCCAGAGGGATAAGGGAAACCCCATCTACCTCCTCCTCGCTTGTGTCTATCTGACATGGCTCTTTGCTGGGACCACACCTACAGACCCTTGGAAATACAGTGAGATCAAACCAAGGGACCAGGATTTGAGGACCTGCTCTTCGGGAGCCTGGCAAGGATGGTGCAGGAGGGAGAGCTTCCCCTTACCTATGCAGATAGCTTCCCATCTCCTGGTTGACTTCAATGCCGTCCTCATATCGCAGCACACCTGGAAGCATGATCTTGGCCCCATAGCAGATTGGGCCCCATAGCAGATTGCGTTCACCTACAAGGATGACATCACCCCTGAGAGCCCCAGCCACTGCCTTCACCCCAGAGCCAAAGGGGAGGGGGCCTGTGGGCATCTCCCCACATGTGAAATGGGGCCAAGGACAGTCATTAGCTGCAATGAGTATGTAGAGACTCTGAATAACAACCACTCACCACACACTAGGACTTTAAACAGCAACTCCTCTATGTCTGTGGAACTTAAGGATGTTTTCATTTTAAATCAATGCCTAGCCTTAGTTTCCCTTAATTGCTCTTCTGTTACTTTAATGAGAGAAAACCTTAACAGAACTAGGAGACCTATTAGATCTACTGGGAGATTTGGGTAGTGACAGGTTCCTGGAGTAACTCGCAAGCAAGATTACCAAGACCTATTGAACCAACTACCCACAGGTTTTGGCATAACTTATAGGCCAACAGGTATGTGTTAAGGCCACCTCTCCCTGAGTTCAATAGACTTAATGAATCCCGCTCCACCTGCCTCGTCCTATCTAGAGCTCTTCTGTTGATGACCATGGGTTCGATTCCCAGTCAAGGGTACATACCTCGGTTGCAAACTTGACCTCTGGCCCCAGTCAGGGCGCATGCAGGAAGCAACCAATTGATGTGTCCCTCTCACATCGACATTTCTCTCTCCCCATTCTTCCTCCCCACCACTCTCAAAGAAAAAAAAATCAATGGAAAAAAATATCAAGTGATGATTTTTAAAAAAATTCTTTAACAGGTTTTGAATATGAATGATAAACCTCAAATTACTTAATACAGAAATTTATGTTCTTCAAAGTCAGAGAATCTTTTTATTGCTACATAATGTTGGACAAAAACTTGGTTATGCAAGCTGGGCACAAAGACAACCTTAATTTATAAAAGGCTATTCTCTGACCATTAGAAATAAAAAGGCTATTTTTAAAATTCTGGACTACTTGGAAGAGAAATAACTTACCTTTGAAACTCTACAGTCTCAACTTTTTATGCCCATCAAAACAACCTTTTCTTGCGATTTAAATAAGATCCGTTTATTACACATATGCAGAACTACCAGGTTATGGGAAAGCAAATTTCATGTACCACTGATAGACTATTTCTTGAACCAAGTTACTTTGGGAAAACTCTTAGGTAAATGTTTAATTAATTTGCCTTATTTAAAAATAGAATTAGACCTAGCATTAAACTTTTACTTTAATTCAGTATATTTGGTTCTGATTTAATAAAAAAGTTAATCATTAATGCATAAATGCTTCATTAAAAGGAAGAACCCAGTGTCCAATCTATACAACAAAACAAAAACCAAAACCCCAAGGAATTTAAGTTGACGCCATGTTTCACCTCTTTTAATAGAAAGTTTTCAGAACATGGACCACATCTCAGCTGTGAAGTCACGTTTTGTCCAAACATGGACTTGAAACCCAAAACTTACTGCGCTGTCTTTCATAACCAGCCGTTTATGAGATGTCAACAGCTTTTCCAGAGGGTAAACAACTCGCCGCAGGTAACTCTCATCTTTGTGGTTATCGTACAGCCACTGGGCATCGAGCACGTCATGCATTGTCACCATGTGGTCCTGGAAAGCAGCCATGTGTGAAAATTAGTCATTGTCATTGCATCTCAAGTAGCACAACAGACGCCAAACTTCCAAAGGCGGAATGAATCGAGTCGTCTGCTAATCCAAGCTCATTAGTCTTCGGTCCCTTCAGAACCTCGTCTCTCTTGGGTACCTTTAACCTGCTGATGCACAGTAGGTCCTCGGGTTACGTCAGAGATCCGTTTCTACTGCGCGACGTAAGTCGGAACCCACCTACATAAGCACCTACGTCACTCACATGGAGCGCATACACAGCAGTAATGAAGTGAAACAGTAAAAAAAATTTATAAGAAAGATAACAATTCCTGACCTTTACTCGGTAAATAATAAAAAACATAAAGCACACATGTACATATGTCAAAATGACGGAACTTTTTTGTAGGCTGGGAGGTAAGTGAATAGAACAACGTTTTCTATCCGGTCATCTCCCCTAGCCTGTGTTTCAATGTCCCAAAGTTTAATTAACAGAACAGGGAACTGCCCTGAACTGAACTCAACACTTTGGAAATTGCCTTTTCCAGGCTGTGAAGCAGGTGGCGTTTCACCAGAGGCTAGAATATACAGGGTGGGGCAAAAGTTGGTTTGGAAAATAATACAATTACTAAATAATAAACCGTTTCGTCTACTCACAACTGTAGACCTACTTATGCCCCACCCTGTATTAATACCAGCTCTAAAACTGCTAGGCCCACGATGGTGTGTACCTTCTCGCTCATGACTCCAGAACGAATCCGCCGAAGTTCCTGCATCTGACCGCCAACTCCCAGTAACAAACCAAGGTGTACACACAGCGTCCGAATGTAGGTGCCGGCCTCACAACTCACCCAAAAGATTCCTAAGATACACACACACACAAAAGTAACCCACATTTTCCAAAGTAAACATGCCACCAGTTGAGAAACCCAGAGTTATTCTCTATCTGAGCCAGAGAGACTAAAGACGACAGACACAGGCCATGACTGCACCATGTACTAAGGACACCTACTTTGAATAACAAGAGTATAATTCTCAAGAATCCATTTCTACCCACGCATGGCCTGTTAACTGAGCTCCTTCACAGGCCTAGTGACCTACCTAATCTTCTTTCAGGATCATACTCAACCATTTTGCTCTCGTAGATGGTCCGCACTCGGAGTTGCCTCTTTACTGCAGCAATAAGTGGGGGGCGCTGGAATAAGGCGCCTGTCAGAGTTTCTAGGGCCTGAGAATAAGCACAAACCAAAATGACGACTCGTATTGCATAGACTCTCCAATAACATCAAAGGGCATTATTTGGGGGAGTTGAAGGACACAACTGAAACACACAAGATTCCTGTCAATCATTTAAGGTCTAAAATGCCCTTTCAAATTTTTGCTTCTTTCTTCAACTACACAGGGATGGCTCAGTGCTGAAGCAGAACTCTCTCCTCAGAAGGGACATGGCCGGAAGTGCCCCTGCCACCTGTAGTCACCAGTCCAGGCTGCGATGGGCGGCCTGCTCAAAAGGCCACGAGAGAGGCCAGCCAGGAAAGCTGACCTGTCTCCACATGCCTAGGGGCTTCAGAGATGCAAGTCACCAAAAGATGCCCTCCCTAGAATTACACTTACCCTAGCAAGCTGAGTCCCCCCTTCAATAGCATTGTGCAGCCGGACAATTCCCACATACTCTTTGCCTGAAAAATGACAAAAGAGTAGTCAGGTGTGGCCACTGACTTTTCTGTATTTTTTATATAATCCTATCTCATCGCTCCTATTTTGTGCAGCAGGAAAAGCAGGCGACTGGACCTTCTGTTTCTGTAAAATTTGCATTAAGACCGATTTCCTGGGGCAAGTGTGGGAAAGGGATGCAGACACAATCTCTCACTCCCTGGGAGTTCAATGTGCTGACAAGGATAGTTGGAGAATCCGGCGTAGAGCCTGCAAACCAGGAAAAACTCTGCAAAGTCAAGGTGGAGAATCTTCCCAGATGAAAATTCGGGAAGGGTAGCCCTAGCTGCTTTGGCTCAGTGGATAGAGCAGTGATGGCGAACCTTTTGAGCTCGGCGTGTCAGCATTTTGAAAAACCCTAACTTAACTCTGGTGCCATGTCACATATAGAATTTTTTTGATATTTGCAACCATAGTAAAACAAAGACTTATATTTTTGATATTTATTTTATATATTTAAATGCCATTTAACAAAGAGAAATCAACCAAAAAAATGAGTTCGCGTGTCACTTCTGACACGCGTGCCATAGGTTCGCCATCACTGGGATAGAGCATCAGCCTGCGGACTGAAGGGTCCCAGGTTCGATTCCAGTCAAGGGCACATGCCTGGGTTGCGGGCTTGATCCTCAGTATGGGGTATGCTAGAGGCAGCCGATCAATGATTCTCTCTCATTGATGTTTCTATCTCTCCCTCTCTCTTCCTCTCTGAAATCAATAAACCATATTTTTTTAAAAAAAGAAAATGCGGGAAGGGCACTTTATTTTATTTTTAAGCCCGAGGATATTTTTCCATTGATTTTTAGAGAGAGTGGAAGAGAGAGGAAAAGAGAGAGAAATATCATTATGAGAGAAATGCATTGATTGGTTGCCTCCTGCACTTGCCCCAATCAGGGCCCTGGGCCCGGGAGGAGCCTGCAACAAGAGGTATGTGCCCTTGACCGGAATCAAACCCGGGACCCTTCGGTCTCACAAGCTGACGCTCTATCCACTGAGCCAAACCGGCTGGGGTGGGAAGGGCACTTTAGACAGAAGCAGCAATATCACGCCAGAGGAGCCTGGAGTGATGAGCTGGACGCGAACACAGGTCTGCCTCAGTGCTAGGAATAGACATGGTTGGCTCAATGTACACATGCCTAGTAACCCAGCACTCCAAGAAAAGGCAAATAGCACAGACGGTACACAGAAAACTAGGATTTTTTTTTTAACTAATGAAGAAATCGATTTCAAGAGCCAAAATGTGGAAGGGAAAGGAAATACAGGAAACCTTCCAATGGCAAATTACATACCTGCACTCTGTTGCGATTTTACCAAGCGAGTGGCTCGTTCTATGCACACGATTAAACAGCCGGTCACCTTGGGATCCAGAGTACCACTGTGTCCTGTCTTCTCCACCCGAAGTATTCGTCGGATCCAGGCTACCACCTCGTGGGAAGAGGGGTTAGAGGGCTTGTCAAGATTAATGAACCCTGTCCTAGAATGGAAAAGAAATTACTGGGCATTGGTTCTGGTCCCCTAATCAAAACTGAATCTGAAGAGTAAAAGAGAATCCACCATGGGTACAGGCGATGAGATTTAGGACAATGCCATTCTAAGATGCCACTACCTCCTTAAATAACTGATGCTACAAGGTGTCATTTTGAAAAGAACAGAAGTTAGAACAGTGCTCGCTCCAAACACACTTACCTGATATAATCACCAATCTCCCGCTTCAGAGGATTTGAACCACAAGGAAGAGGTGTATAGTGTGTCGTCCTTATATTTAGCTTATCAAAATTCTAGAAAGCAACGATACAACACAAAACTATTGATACATGTAAAACAAGAAATAAGCACCCACCATCAATTGTGATATGGTTACCCTTCAAGTTCACAAACTTGAGTTTGCTCCTGTATTTTCGTTATCTGCTGTGACAGACTGTTAAGCCTCCTTCTAGACCAGAAAAATTACTCACGAGCAGTAAGACAAATGTGATCACTCCTCTAGAAAGAGACTCCTTGGGGTGCTACAGATCAGACTGGGCTTCACTATGCAGGTTTGTGAATCAAGTATGGACTAGCTTTTTCGCAGGGACAAAACACAGCCAAGGAGGACTGGCAGCAATGTTTCTCCATGGCTTGTTTGTTCTTCCTCCAAATGCTCTTCTCTCTGTTTGTCTCATGTCTGTTCCTTGTTACTCTCCTTTCTGAGGCACAATCACTGGTCTGAAAGCACTCACCTCCCTTGAAGCCCACCTTTCATATCACCCGCCCCCAGTTTAGTTTTGTTATGGTGTTTATCACAAATAGAAATTATTTTAACTATCGCCCACCCCTAGATTTTAAGTTCCACGACAGTAGGGACATTGCCTACCAGGTTCACTGGCATATTCCCAGGGCCTGCAATAGCAAAGCAGATGCTATCTAAATGGCAGGCACATCTGGCTGTGTAGAAACTCAACTGTGTTGAATTATATAAACAAAGCTCATTCCTTTCCCATATATGTTTTATTAAAACACTTTGTCAAGGGGTGTTCTCGGGAACCCAATCTCAGAGCTGGTGCCTAGTCAGTCCTTTAGGAAACTTGCAACTCAACTCATTAATAAACTGCCTTATTAAAAACCCAATATAATAATCAATCATTTCTAGAGGACATGTTACATGCCAGGCACTATGGCTAGACATGTTTCATGGATTACTGTTGGCTTGACTTCCTAAAAGATATTATGAGCAAACAGCCTCAGAGAGGTGAAATGATTGGCCCAAGGTCACACTGCCCATGCTTCTCAAGCACTAAAGGAGACCTACTCCATGTGTGGCTCACAAACTGGTACCAGTCGGTCAAGTGAAGTACAGAAACCAAGAACTAATTGCTTATAAACTGTGACAGCAATTTAATGTTGTTTTGACATTTTAACTGTATTCTATGACTGTCCTATGTGCACTGGAAATGGGGAAAAAAAACACACCTGGTCCTTCATCTCAGACTTTGAGGAATACCACTTTAGACTATCACCTGGCACTTCCTAAGTGAAGGATGCTAGCATTAAGCACTCTTAACGAACTGTTTAACCTTGAGAAATAATGTAAAAGCCAGGCACTGACCTCATGCACAATCTTAGCCACATACCTTTAGCAACAGAGGCCACTGAGATGTGTCCAACTGAGCCACTTTGGATTCAGGTTTGATAAGAAATTCTCCAATGTGTTGGATTTCCTTCCAAGGACAGAAACACACTCTATTAGACTTCCCGCCGGATTCCACACAACTCCATTAACGCCAAAGCCTATGCCCCTTCAACAGGACCCACAAGGGAAAAAGAAATAAGCCAGAACCTCAGAAGGGTACAGGTATTTAAAGAGAAAGAGGGATGGTGGGTCTGCAGGTGGAATAAGAAAGAAAATTTCAGGGAAAGCAGTTGGTGGGGCCAACACCACTTAGCGAATTGTATGTGATGGGAGAGATTTAGGTTGGCTGGGGTCTTGTACAACGACCACCCAATTCTAACCCGTTCCTTCAAAACCTCTGAAAATAGTTTCCTTTCATTTGTTACCTAAGTTTTGCTTTTAGTCAAAACAAAGTGAGACATATTCCTACTCACTGCAACATCTTCTTCTGGTAATGACTTGGATTCTTTTTTCTTTTTATGCTTCTTGGGCAAAGTAACTGCTAAAAAACAAACACACGAGATTTGGGAGTTCTTTCCGAAAATAAAGGCAATTAAGTTTAAAATAGAGAACGGACCAGGGCAGGTAGGCAATGGACGTTTGGTCTACAATTGGGAAAACAAAAGTGCGTAAGGCCAAACGCGCGGGTTGGTGGCTCAGTAACAGACTAGAAGCGGTCGCACGTGTCAGCTCCCATTAAGTTCACCACGTGGCGGGGCTTCCTGTGCTGCAGAAGCGCTCGGCCCGCGTGCCGGAAAGTTCCCTAAGTGACTCCTTGACTATCCCCGCGTGTTTGTGACCTCCAGAACTTTCTTGCGTGTCAAAGCTACGCCCGAGCCCCTCCACCCCTTTTCTTCCACACCCATTGCGACCATCCTTTCCTCCCTCGCCCCGGAGCGCTGCCGGCGGCGTCTGGGCTGCCGGCAGCACCGGTACTGGTCTCCTGTCACTGCAGGGTGCACGCCAGCAGGGTCGTCGCCTTTCGTTGGCGACCCGGGCCCTAAGGTTGTGCTGTCAGCGGGAGGCCCGGGCCTTGCAGCGCCAGCTCATCGCGAGGGCCTCCCGCGTTATTGCCCTAAGCCGTGGAGCCAAGGCCAAGAGGCAAGGCTGGCAGGAGGCTCCGCAGCGACCAGACCCGCGGGGCAGCTGGAGCTAACGGAGAGCTCTGGCTCCGAAGCCGGCCCCCCGACCCAGGATCTCCGAGGCAGCAAAGCTGGCCCCAGGCGGGAAAACAGCCTAATCGGTCGTGACAGACCAACCCTTACCTTCCATATCCGCCATGTTCCCCGGCAGAGGGTGCGAACCGCGTGAGCCACCGCCAAAAGAGCGTCTATAGATTCCCACCGCCCAGAGGCCCCGCCGCTAGAACCCGCCCACCTGTGCGCCTCCCCGTGCGTGCCGCGCCACGGGGCGGGGCCAGGATGAAGGGGCCGGTGGCGCGCGCGGGCCACCTGCGCAATCTCATTGGCTGTATTCTCCCCAGCGGTGGCGCGCCTGCGCATACGCGTGCGCTTTGGGTCTCGGCCCCCGCCCTTGGCAGCTCGGGCTGTGAAGAGCGCAGCCCCCCGAGGCAGCGCGTAGCCTGTGGGCGTGGCTTCGGCCGCTGTTGATCTACCTTCGCTGGGTTTCACTCGGATATGCGCACCTGGGCACCCCGCTGAGTACTCCATTAACTGTAGCTTGTTGCTGCCTCTCGCCCGACCCTTTAAGGTTACTATCGGATCAGTCCCGATAGAAAAATGAAGACGCTAAGGCACCGAGAGGTTGAAAGCCCTTTGCTACTTGCAATTTCTCAGGCAGCAGCCGAGTCCCTGGCCAATAGGAATGGAGTGCGAGCCACTCGTGGACTTTTAAATTTTCGAGCAGACACATGGAGAAAAAAAGTAAAAAGAGAAAGTTGAAAATTATTTTAATGATGAATTTTATTTAACCCAGCTATCCAAAATATTATTCCAACATGTAAGCAATACACAATATTATGAAGAGGATATTTTACTTTTTTTTGGTGCCAGATCTTTCGGGTTTGTGTTTTACACTTAGCACACCTCGAATAGCCCCAGGATCGCTAATGGCTGCGGAATTGCACAGCTAGGAAGTGGCTCCTGGTTTAAGACCTCTGCGCTTCTATCTTTGGTGTTCTCCCTTTTCTATCTCTCAAGGTGGGGGGAGGGGGTCTTAGACTTGCCTCTCTGGACTTGATGGATCCCTAGTTATATATTTTATTGATTTCAGAGAGGAAGGGAGAGGGAGAGAGCTATAGAAACATCAATGATTCAGCTGCCTCCTGCACTCCCCCTACTGGGGATGGAACCTGCAACCCGGGCATGCGCCCTTCAGGGGATTTGAACCCAGACCCTTCAGTCTGCAGGCCAACGCTCTATCCACTGAGCTAAACCAGTGAGGGCCCTAGTTATTTCTTTATTGCGATTGTAAAGGGTGCCTTTTGCCATTGTCTTTTCTAATGAGTTGCTGCTGACAGAAGAGAGCAATTATTGCTTTTCTTCCAATCCTTCTCTGCCAACCAAAGAATAGATAATTTTCCATTTTATTTTACTGTGGCTTAAAAAAAAACAGATGATTGGTTTTTCCTCAGGTAACTTTTACTCTATCAAGAATTTATTTTGGTGTGTGCCAAGGCAATGATAATAATTATTTAAATTAACTTTTTATAGATAACCAAAGCCCCCAGTATCAACCAATCCATGGGCAGTTCATTACTTCCCCCATTATTTTATAATATCCCATTGGTACATGTTTGGCTGAATAAGTTTGAGGTATTCGTTGATGGTTCTTTTATGAGGTTCATCTTTCTCCAGCACTCATCTGATCTGTTAGCAAAGCCTGTCATCTTTGCTTTTAAAAGAGATGCAGAGCCCGGCTGGCGTGGCGCAATGGTTGAGCATCCACCTATGAACCAGGAGGTCACGGGTTGATTCCCGATCAGGGCACATGCCCAGGTTGCGAGTTCCGTCCCCAGTGGGGGGCGGGAGGGAGGGAGGCAGCCGATCAATAATTCTCTCTCATCATTGATGTTTCTATCTCTCTCTCCCTCTCCCTTCCTCTCTGAAGTCAATAAAAATATTTAAGAAAAGAGACTTTTTTTTGCCGAAACCGGTTTGGCTCAGTGGATAGAGCATCGACCTGCAGACTGAAAGGTCCCGGGTTCGATTCTGGTCAGGGGCATGTACCTGGGTTGCGGGCACATCCCCAGTGGGAGATGTGCAGGAGGCAGCTAATCAATGTTTCTCTCTCATCGATGTTTCTAACTCTCTATCTCTCTCCCTTCCTCTCTGTAAAAAATCTATAAAATATATTTTAAAAAAAGAAAAAAAAAGAAAAGAGAGATGCAGAATCTAATGGTTTTTTTTCACTGCTATCACTGTAGTCCATGCCATCATTATGTCTCCTAGATTGTTTTTCAGTGGCCTCCTGCAGTTCCCTTTTCTACTTTTTCCAAATATAGTGTCTTGTCAACACAGCAGCCGGAAAGAGCCATTAAACGCTAAGTCAGGCCATCCTCTGCTCAAAGCCCTTCAATGGCTTCCCCTCTGGAACAGGGTGAAGAGTGGGCCCCCAGTGTTCGCTTCGGCAGCACATATACTAAATTGGAACGACACAGAGAAGAGAGATTTGCTTGGCCCCTGCGTAAGGATGTCCAGCAAATCCGCATTTAAAAAAAAAAAAGAGTGGGCCCCCAAAAGATATGTACTAACTCCTGGAACCTATGATCATGGCCTTATTTGGAGAAAGGGTCTTTGTAGATATAATGAAGTATCTCGAGATGAAATCATCCTGGATTGCCCAAGTGGGCCCCAAAGCCAACAACAAATGTCCTTGGAAAAGACAGAAGAGAAAACCACGTAAAGACGGAGGCAGAGATTAGAGTGATCTCCATCTTCCGGCCTTGATGACTGTGAGAGAATAAATTTCAGTTGTTTACAGCCACCCAGTTCGGGGTCATGTGTTATGGTAGCCCCAGGAAACTAAAGTACCATCTCACTAAGAGTAAAAGCCACACTACAGTGCTTCTTAGCTGTTCAGGATACTCCAGGCACATTCTTCCCTCTTCCTTAAATGTACCTTGTTTATTGTCTGTTTCTTTACTAGAATATTAACTTTATGAAGCCAGGAAATGTTTGTCTACTCTTTTTTCCGTTCAGCCATTTCATAGAGGAGGAGGACACAAATAAATCCTCCCTCTTCAGATCATGGCAATTTTAATCTATCCCCCATATGTTTGTCTATTTTTAAAATATATTTTTATTGATTTCAGAGAGGAAGGGAGAGGGAGAGAGAGATAGAAACATCAAGGATGAGAGAGAATCATCGATCGGCTGCCTCCTACACGCCCCACACTGGGGATCGAGCCCACCACCTGGAAATGTGCTCTGACCGGGAATCAAACCTTGACCTCCAGGTTAATAGGTCGATGCTCAACCACTGAGCAACACTGACTGGGCAATTTTGTCTATTTTGTTCACTGCTCTATACCCAGCTCCTAGAAGATGCTCAGTAAATATTGGTTAAATGAATCTATATCTTTTTTTAAAATATATTTTTATTGATTTTTTTACAGAGAGGAAGGGAGAGGTATAGAGAGTTAGAAACATCAATGAGAGAGAAACATCGATCAGCTGCCTCCTGCACACCCCCTACAGGGGATGTACCCGCAACCAAGGTACATGCCTTTGACTGGAATCGAACCCGGGACCCTTCAGTCTGCAGGCTGACGCTCTATCCACTGAGCCAAAATAGTCAGGGCTGAATCTTGCCGGAAGCCGGTCCATCCTTGCTGCTTAACACAGTTGCTGCAGGGAAGAAACATCTGCACAGCATATGTTTCAAGGGACCTGGCATATATAGCATACTGTTCTTAATATGTTTGCTCACCTTCTTGGCGCTATGTGTTTTAACCAAGGTCACCTCTCCGAGAAAGGTTGTTTCCCCAGGTAGGGATTTTTCCCAGAAGTTAGGGAGGGAATAAAACCCCTTAACTAAATGCCAGGCGGGTAGTTAATCACTTTAACTACGAACAATCACCCTTAAGCTACATAATCTTTACTCTCTGGAATGGAGATAAGAAACGCCCTAACCTTTGCAATAGAAATTGACAGGATTAAAATCAACCGGTATAAATACAGATGTAACAAGACAATAACACACAGAACCTGGCTGGAGAACCTATCGAGAGAACGTGGCAAGAGATCCTGGACAGAACTTGGCTGGAGATCCTGGCTAGGCATCCTGGCTAGGCTGCTGATCAACTGAACACTGTCTTTGTGCCATTCCTTCTTCACCGACTCCGCCCACACCTTTGGGGACCCCCGGACCTGCTGGGGTTGGACCCCAACACACTGAGCCAAAATAGTCAGGGCTGAATCTATATCTTTTTAACCCAGAAACTCCATGGATCTCCCCTTCCCAGTGGAAATAGCTTCTCCTCCCCTTCTGATGAAGCTGATCCTGCCTTTCTTGGAAACCTTGTAATGAATTCACCTGGTCCGTTGCCCAGCAAGGGGATGCCAATTCTCCTTGTGCCCAACTCCTCCCTTCTCTCATTGTCTGCAATCCCAACTCTCTCGGGGAGGTGGGAATGGAGGAATGGAGTTGTCATGTGCACCCCCACTGGTGCACCCCTTAGCTACATTCCCTGAGAGGGCTCAAAGGACATTCCTTTCACCAAAGCACTTAGACCAGTGGTTCCCAACATGGGCACACACCCCACAGGGGGGGAAATTTGATTTGTTTTTAAATATATTTTTATTGATTTCAGAGAGAAAGGGAGAGAGAGATAGAAACATCAATGATGAGAGAGAATCACTGATTGGTTGCTTCCTGCACGCCCTCTACTGGGGAGGAGCCTGCAACCCAGGCATGTGCCCTTGACTGGAATTGAACCCAGGACCCTTCAATCCACAGGCGGACGCTTCATCCACTGAGCCAAGCCAGCTGGGGCGCAATTTGAATTTTAAGGGGGGCAATTCGAGAATGAGTTATTAACAGTGAATGTTTTGCATTTCTTATGGTTCTAGGGGCCTCATATACAGTTTATAAATATATATTGTGACATATTTATGCATTTCAGTTCTCTATTATGTGCTTTGAAACTTTATGTGCTATTTTTTCATATCACTTCATTATCATTTTTTTTAAACAATTTCTTGCCCTGACCGGTTTGGCTCAGTGGATAGAGCATCAGTCTGCGGACTCAAGGGTCCCAGGTTCGATTCCAGTCAAGGGCATGTACCTTGGTTGCGGGCACATCCCCAATGAGGGGTGTGCAGGTGGCAGCTGATCGATGTTTCTCTCAGATCGATGTTTCTAACTCTCTATTCCTCTCCCTTCCTCCCTGTAAAAAATCAATAAAATATTTAAAAAATAAAAAATATATTAAAAAAACCAATTTCTTAGTGATTGCTTCCTCAGTACTTCAATGTCCTTCCGTTCTTTTATTTTTCTCTTTCATGGGTGCCATGTTCTTTGGAAGCTTGTTTAGACCAAGTGAATAGGAGTTACTTTTTGAATAATAAGAATTATATGTCACGGGGGTAGGATTTTAGAGATGCTTAAGTGGGGCATGGCCAAAGAAAGGTTGGGAACCACTGACTTAGACATACTTTGGTGAAGGTTCTTGAGAACTAGTCTGGGAAAGGAGGCAGGCAGCATTGTCATGGAAACAGGCTTGCACTCTCAGTGGGAATGATGGGCTCCAGGAGCGGCAGAGGCCACGGAGTGGCATTAAATCTCATAGAAACACGATGGGTATCCTGCCAGGTAGCTGACTGGCAGCTGGAACCACAATAGTGTCTCCCCATGGATCTTTGGTGGTGGCTAATTGATCATGTTATCCTGTTAATAGGCCACCTGTAGCGGGCCGTGATGTCAATAACCCCAACAACCAACAACAAAAACTCTGGGTGTGGTGAATGGCAGCCTGCCTGGCCTGGTACATCATGGCCCTTCATCTAATTCCCAGACCCCGTCAGTTCACAGTTTGGGAGCCCTTAAGGGAAGATGAGGCCAGGTACATCTAACACTTCAATGCACACTGGGTTTTAACCCCTCCTCCTACTTTCCCCTGAGGACATAGAATGTCACTGTGACCCACTGGTCAGAAATGGAGTCTTTGTCCGTGTCCCTTTCAGTGTGGACCCCCCTGTGGCTCTTTTCCCAGTTCCTCTTTGCATAATTGGAATAAACACACTTGGCAGATGGAAATTCCCACAGGGGCTCCCTGACTCAAGGGCTGAGGACAATTATGGACAGAAAGGTCAAAAGGAACCCCCCACCCCCACATTGTCCCTTCAATGCTCTGGGCTATTATCATAATTAAGTCCCCGGGGGTTGGCTTGATCATCTCATTGTCCTCCAAGGCATCACGCTGGGCTGGCTGGTCTACCGCATTAATGACATCATGCTGACTGGGCCTGGTGCATAGGAAGTAGCAAATATTTCACCACAGGATGAGAGAAAAGCCCCCCCTCCCCCTCTCCCCGAACATTCAGTGGCCCAGAACCTCTGTGACGTTTCAGGGCATCCAGTGCACTGAGGCATATCGAGATGGTGAGAGAAACAACTTGCTATACCTCAACCCTACTGCCCCTAAGAAAGAAGTTGCCCAGCCAGAGTGGCTCAGTGGTTGAATGTTCACCGTGTACCAAGAGGTCCCTGGTTCGATTCCCTGTCAGGACACAATGCCCAGGTTGCGGGCTTGATCCCTAGCAGGGGGCATGCAGGAGGCAGCCAATTGATGTTGATTCATTCATGTTTCTTTCTTACCCTTCCTCTCTCTCGCAAATTAATAAAAACATATAAAGTAATAAATTAATTCATTAAATCTGCCACATCCACCAAGACTTAACCAATTGCTGTGCAGGCCAAATTGATGAATTCAATGGGGTTGTGATAGAATTTCCTTCTCTGCATTTTTCAAGTCTTTTTTAAACTTTATTTTTATTGATTTCAGAGAGGAAGGGACAAGGAGAGAAAGGTAGAAACATCAATGATGAGAGAGAATCATTGATTGGCTTCCTCCTGCACACTTCCTACTGGGAATGGAGCCCACAACCTGGGCATGTGCCCTAACAGGGAATCAAACCATGACTTCCTGATTCATTGGCTAACGCTCAACCACCGAGCCACACCGGCCGGGCATTTTTAGATAATTTTCATATCAGGTTTTGGTTAAAATTTTTAAATTTTTGTTTTGTTTTGCTTTGCCCATGGATGTGTAATTGCTCCAGCACCATTGAATAGACTGTCTTTCATCCACTGAATTGCTGTTGTGCATTTGTCCAAAAACAGTTTGGCTAATTAATGTGAATCTATTTTGGGGGTTCTCTATTTCATTCCATTTATCTATGTGTCTATTCCTCTACCAATATCACAAGTCTTGATTGCTGTAGCTATATAATAAGCCTTAAAATTGTGTAAAGAGCTTTGTGTAATGATCTTGCATCCTGCAACCTTGTAAAACTCATTAATTACAGGAGTTTTTCTGTAGATTCCTTGGGATTTTCTATGAAGACAATTCTATCATCTGTAAATTGAGACAGTTTTATTTCTTCCTCTCCAGTCTGTGCCTTTTGGTTTCCCCTCCTCCTCCTCCTCCTCCTCCTCCTCCTCCTCCTCTTCCTCCTCCTCCTCCTCCTCCTTCTTCTCCTTCTTCTTCTTCTTTTGCCTTATTTTACTGGCTAGAATTTCCAATACTATGCTGAACAAGAGCAGTGAGAGTGGCCCAGCCAGCGTGGCTCAGTGGTTGACCATCAACCTATGAACCAGGAGGTCAGGGTTCGATTCCCGGTCAGGGCACATGCCCGGGTTTCGGCCTCGATCTCCAGTGTGGGGGCGTGCAAGAAGCAGCCAGTCAATAATTCACTCTCATCATTGATGTCTCTCTCTCTCTCTTCCTCTCCTTTCCTCTCTGAAATCCATAAAAATATATTTTAAAAAACCACAAAAACAAGAGTAGTAAGAGTGGATATCCTTGCTTGTTCCCAATCTTAGGGAGAATGCATCCAGTTTTTCACCAGTAAGATGTTAGTCATATGTCTTCTGTAGATGTTCATTAACAAGTTGAGGAAGTTCCCCTCTATTCCTAGTTTTATGAGACTTTCATCATGAATTGGTGTTGGGTTTTGTCAAGTGCTCATTCTGCATCAGTTGATAGGATCACGTGATTTTTCTTCTTTCCCTTGTTAATGTGGCGGATTGCATTGCCTGGTTTTCATATATTAAACAAGCATTGCAGCTCTAGGATAAACCCCACCTGGTCGTTATAT